GAAATCAACATTCAGTGTCGAACTCGAACATGAGATCTCGCCAGAATCTTTCTGTGCACCTCCTCAGCCAAAATCAAATCACGAATATCATCACATTTCAGTTTATATTTACTTGCAGAACTGCTAACTGCTAACTGCTATCCTCATGACTTCCCAACTATTTAACAATGATGTCAATAATATCAACGCATGTATCTCATCATCAAAATCAATTTTAACAGACACAATTGATTTGTGATAGTATTGAAATCATTCAGGTGTTAAGCAACAAAAACACCTTCCGTAATCTTCGAATTAAATAACTTCTTCATCAAGTATACCTTGTTATTCACCGATGACTTTTTATACATACCTGATAAGGCTGCTATGAGATCTGCAGTCGTCATTTCCTTAACAACGTTGTGTGCAACGGACCTCGATAGGGTCAATCGAATAAACCCAGAACTTGTCGATCCAACAAATTCCATTCAGCCTCATCCATCCTTTCAAGTCTTTTCCCTAATAACGAAAAATAAAGTTTCTTCCCAGAGAGGTAGTCTTCTATCTACATCCTCCAGTAACTAAAATATGTGTCATCAAACTTCTCGATCCCTGAAACCTTTACTTCATCTGCACCCATCATTTTTTCTCAGATCCGAACAAAGCTCTGATACGAATTGTTGTGTTATATAGAAATAAAATAGAAGAACGATCGACGAAGCGAAAAATAACACGAGAAAATTAAAACCAGAAAACAGTAACACAACGGAACACACAGATTTACGTGGTTCGACAAATTTATCTACGTCCACAGAGTTGTAAAAGATTTTACTACTTGAGGAATATACACCGGTCGATCGTCTCAGCTTACAAGAGGAATTTCTCACTTAGTTGCTCTTTTCTTATCTCCCTGTTCTTCTCCCTACACTGAGACACACTGAAGAAGCTCTACACCGAGATACACCGAAGAAGATAAACTTACAAGAAAAATAAATTCAATTTCTCTTCTGCCACAAGCCATTAAGAAGAAGTCAAGGGAGAGCAACCTTCTTCTTCTTTCTTCTGCTGCAAGTAACAATTGCTTGCACTTCTCTTACATTCTCCCATGAAAGTCCAAAGAAGAACAAAAGATCGTGACTTATAAACTTAAAGGAGAGTCGTCCATGTGATGCCTTTATCACGAACAGGAAGGGGAAACTGTCGTGACACAGCGGGAGACACTACTCTTCGCGAAGCAACGGACTGTTCGATGGAACAGTTCGCGACCGAGCGGGAGACGGGAGCGAGAACTTCGCGAGAACGGTTCGCCATCGGGGGGAGTGGAAGTGGGAGAGATCGGACCTGGCTCCAGCATAACAAAGTTCTGTCAACTCCCACTTACTTGAACTTTTATCTTGTAGGATTTCTTCATAGCTTTGAGTTTCTCCACCATCTCTCTGTGAAATAATAGGAATAGATGCTCTGGACCCACTGTCCTCTTCACTTCTATCATCAACAAAACTATGAACTGTCAGTAATAGTGCATCATGTACTTCTTCAGATACCACATTTCCGCTATCATTCTTCATCTTCTTGGGATTCCTGCAATTCCTCTTTATGTGGCTAGCCTTGCCACAATTCCAACAGGTTACCTGCTGACCAGACTTTAATTTTGATCTCCCTCTATTTGAGTTCTTATCATGTCATCTGCCTCTGAAATCAACATTCAGTGTCGAACTCGAACCTAAGATCTTGCTAGAATCTTTTCTGCACACCTCTTCAGCCAAAATTAAATCACGAATATCATCATATTTCAGTTTAGATTTATCTGCAGAACTGCTAACTGCTAACTGCTATCCTCATGGCTTTCCAACTATTTAACAATGATACCAACAATATCAACGCACATATTTCATCATCAAAATTAATTTTAAAAGACGGCAATTGATTTGTGATTGTATTGAAATCATTCAGATGTTGAGCAACAAAAACACCTTCTGACATCTTTAAATTGAATAACTTCTTCATCAAGTACACATTGTTATTCGCTGATGACTATTCATACATACCTGATAAGACTGCCTTAAGATCCGTAGTTGCCCTCTCATTGACGACGTTGTGTGCAACAGACCTCGATAAGGTCAATCGAATAACCCCAGAACTAATCGATCCAACAGATTTCATTCAGCCCCATCCATACTTTCAGGTCTTTTCCCCAATAACGGAAGATGAAGTTTCTTCTCATATATATAGTTCTCTATCTGCATCCTCCGATAACCAAAATCTATGTCATCAAATTTCTCGATCTCTGAAACATTCACTTCATCTGCAGCCATCATTCTTTCTCAGATCCGAAACACGGCTCTGATACCAGTTGTGATATATATATATATAATAATAATAATAATAAAAGAAGAATGATCGATACAAAGCGAAAAATAGAACGAGAAAATTCACACCAGAAAACAACAACACAGCGGAACACAGATTTGCGTGGTTTGGCAAATTGCCTACGTCCACGGAGTTGCAAATGATTTTACTACTTGAGGAATTTACACCAGTCGATCGTCTCGACTTACAAGAAGAATCTCTCACTTTGTTGCTCTCTCTTCTTCTCTCCCTACACCGAGATACACCGAAGAAGATAAACTTAAAGAGTAATAAACTCAATTTTTCTTCTGCCACAAGCCACCAAGAAGAAGCCAAGGGAGAACAATCTTCTTATTCTTTCTTCTTCCTTCTGCTGCAAGGAACTACTACTTGCACTTCTCTTCTTTTATCCCGAGGAAGCCTGAAGAACAATAAAAAGTTCGTGCTAAACCTGAAGGAGAGACGCGCGATATCATTCTTCTTCTTCCTTCTGTCGCGAGCCAACGCCAAAAACAGCAGAAGAAGAAGCCTTGGAGAGCGATACTCCTCTCGCTCGAACCACACGCCCCGCGCGGAATTGTTGCCTGTTCGCGACTTATAACGAGCAAAGGAATGCTTGCTTCGCAAAACAGAGAAGGCGGGAACGGGCGTAGGCAGGAACAGTTCGCGATAGAGGAAGAGGCGGGAGCGGGAGCTAGGTTCGCGATGTTTCGCAATTGGGAGCAGGAGTCAGGAGTGGGAGGCAGGAGCGATGTCTGGCTGCAGCTAATATTAACAAGTGTTGTTTGTTGTAGTATGGAGTGTAATTTCCTTTTGTTGCATAGTCACGTGCCACCTTATTTTGTGTTAGGTATGACTCATATACCAAAAAATGGACAAATGTTGGAGCAGAGCGGAGCTCGTGAGCGGATGCATTTGTTCAATTGGAAGAGTTTTTTGTTATGTGGTTTGGGGTGCAGGGGCAACGCTCCCGCGACACGGTATATAAGTAATTTTGTAATTACATATTGTACGTCAGGGTTATATATATATATGTTATATTGTAACCTTTAGAAGATCTTGTACTATTTTTCTAAATTGAAGGAAAAACCGTTGCTCTGCTCTCAATGATGTAGACATATTTGTTGAACATCGTTAAATCTCTGTGTTTCTTTCTGGATTTGCTTTAATTCTTGTTTTTCTTTGCCCTAAAATTTTTAACACTTTGCTCATTCCTTTGTTATATTATATTTGCATGTATAGTGCCAAAACTAAGTTTGGAGGGGGGAGTAATTGTGTTTATATTGCCCTTCAAGTTAAAATAAATATCCAATTTAGAGATTATATGAATTATGAATTACATAAGAGACGAGAATTTTAATATTAGTGCACAACTTAAATTTCATGGATAGAAAACTCTGAAGGGTGTAAACAAGATTAAAAACTAACTAGTGCTTGATTTTAACTTAAGCAACACTAATCTATGTAGTTTTTCATAAGTTTTAAAAGGTGAGTGATGAATTTTATAAAATTAATATCTCAAAAAAATAAAATTTAATCGCTACCAGCTTAAAGGATTTAATTTTTTATTAGTATCAATAGAAGTATAAATTTTTAGAAAAGTTAGTAAGCTATTGAAAATTTTGACTTAGTATAGGATTAGTATTCAAAATCATTAAAAAAAAAAGATTAAATAGATATAATAATCCTACATAAAAAAAATATAAGAAAAAATTCATGCTTACAAAGAAAAAAATGTAGAAACATAAAAGGAGAAAATTGAGATTAAGTTCATATAAAAAATTAATCGGTATCGATAAATCTTTCTAATAAGTTGAAAGATAAAAAGTTTCACTAACTTAACTTTGAAATTTTGTATTTAACAAAAAATTAAGAGAACTAGTACTATTTTAAGTACCTAGCTAACCAAATTTTAATGGCTAGTTTTTTATTGAGTACAAAGACTAAAAGTTGAGCAACAAACTTTTTTCATTTGTTACTTATAGTTTGGGCATCTGGGTAGGCCCAAAGTGTGCATTCATAAGATCTTGTTGCCCTTCATGTTTCATAACCTAAACTGATCAAACCCGAACAAAAATGCAGACAACGAACTAACATTGTGCTGGTCTTATTCAAAATGCATTGACTATGAAAAATAAAAATAATTCCCTGTTTCATGAAATGGGTTTTGTCAATACGTTCCGAGCATCGAAATTGCCAAGAGAAGAACCCAGATATCAATTAGAGTAATCGTGCCGGAAGTGAATACTAAACCCGACAATCGCGAATGATTAATTAAAAAAAACATAGACTGTGGAAAACGTTATGGAAGTTTCAATTAAAAATTTTACGTATAGCTTGGGCATCTTGGTAGGCCCCAAGTGTGCATTCATAAGATCTTGTTCCTCTTCATGTGTCATAATTTAAACTGATCAAAACTAACATTGTGCTGGTCTTATTGAAAATGCATTGACTATGAAAAAAAAAAATTCCCTGTTTCATGAAATAGATTTTGTCAATACGTTCCGAGCATCGAAATTGCCAAGAGAAGAACCCAGATATCGATTAGAGTAATCGCGCCGGAAGTTAATAATAAACCCGACAATCGCGAATGATTAATTAAAAAAACTTAGATTGTGGAAAACGTTATGGAAGTTTCAATTAAAAATTTTTATCGACATATAGCCAAATACCTGATCAACATAAGCCGCTGTATTTCCTTGATACTGATCCTCACTTAAGTTGCAGTCTGCCGCGTATCCTCCTCTTTGCCCTCGGATACCCTCACCTTCCCCTCTACCCATCCTCCCAAGAAAGCTAGAGCTTCCACAAGCCTCCGACGAACCCTCTTCTTCCTCGTTCGTGGATTCACTCATCCCCTCCTTCTTCCCATTCTGCCGCACTGATTGCTGCACAGCGTCCATAGACGAGCTTGAGTTCGAATAGCCATCAATACCGTAATTATTGACTCCATTAGCTCCATAAGGAATCTCCCTTCGGGAATGACTATTTTGAAGCGAAGAAGAATCTGGTGAATGTACGTTGCCACATATTTCTTCCCCACTTTCCGCTAAAACATCCACCGGTACTACGCGAGAAAGAGGAACCGCATTGCCAAGCAGATGCCCGCTCCGAAATTTCTCCTGCGGAGGGATCGCAAAATCCAGTCCGTCATTACGAAGATTGTGAACCCCATCAGTACTCTGAAATTGGTTCAAGTCACAAGAAAAGGAATTCATCAACCCTCACGACGAGAC